ACATTTAAAAGCCTTTTAGTTATGTTTTTTCCAACCTAATGCTACTTTAAAGTTTCAATAAGAAAAGAAAAGCAAGACAATTTTTTTTTCTTTTTGGACTTGAGATGACTCGAATTTTGCTATAACATAGTTCCGTTCAATGGATCTACTTCGTTCTTTTAGTTTTAAAAGTTTTTTTATTTTGAAACACAAAACTGAATCGAAATTCTTGTAGTGAATTTTTTCTAACTCAATCTGACACATAATTAATTAAATTATGCTCAAATATAATATGTTCGATCGATTAAATTTACAAATATATTTGACTCAAATGAATATACTTGGGTTTTTAGGTCTTAATTTTTTTTATTGAAACACAACTAAATGAAAGCCCTATTAGTTAAATTTTTAACTAAACTCAACGCATAATTAATTAAGTTCAACTCGATCCATTAAATTTTCAAATAATTATGACTTAAGTGAATCTAGTTCGTTCTTAGGTCTTACAAGTTTTGATAATTTATAGTAGGGGTGAGAACAGTTCGGTTCGGTGCGGTTTTAGCCACAAACCGGAACCGGAACCGAATTGTTCGGTTCGTAAAGAACCAAAAACCAAACCGATCGGTTCCCTGCGGTTCGGTTCCGACCGGTTCCGGTTCGGTTTTTTGTCGGTTTCGGTTCCTTTTCGGTTCATTAAACTATCGGTTCGGTTTCAATTTATGTTCGGTTTTCGGTTCGGTTTTGGGCTAATTTTGGCCCAAAAATCAGCCCAAAAATGTCAATAAGCACCTCAAAATTCAGAAATAAAAAAAATCAGCTCAAACTTATGCCCAAATAGGCCCAAAAATCAATTTAAGTTCATTCTAAATCAGCTAAAAATATACAATAAATCAATTCAACACTTCACAAAAAAAAAAAAAGACCAGCAACAACATTCATTAAAAAAAGGGTTAACTGCAAAAAATCCCCTAAACTTTGGACGTTTTTGCACTTTATCCCCTGAACGGAAAAAAGTTGCACGGGCATACCTCAACTTACAAAATTGTAGCACCGAAACCAAAATTGTCCATTTTTAGCCTATTTGTTCCCGGAATTACACACGTACAACTCCCACGTGTAAATGGAGGGGCAAATTCGCCACCTCACAGGATTTTGGAAAAAAAGAAAAGGAAAAAAGAAAATAAAAAAAAGCAAAAAGAAAAGAGAAAAAAAAACAAAACCCACAACCTCATCTCCCAGACACCACTACCAGTCTACCACCACCAGATCTGCCACCACCACTCTGCTCCGCCATCATCTTCATCATCTCCAACCAACAGCCTCATCTTCCAATTAAGCTTTAAGATTTTCTCTTTCATTATTCTTCAAGCTCAAAACTTGGATGAAGACCCACCAAAAACTGGATGTCGCCGCCGCGCAAAACTTGACGAAGACCCACCAAAAATCAGCCAGATGCAGTTGTAGGGAAAATCAGACCGCGAGACCCAATGGAAAATATTGACGGGGTGAGATTAAACGGCGGCGTTGATTTCGATTAGGGCGCCGCTCTATTCGTGGTGGATGAAATAAGGGGGCGGTCTCCGGTGGCAGAATCGTAGCTTGTGAATTTTGTTTGGCCGTAGTCGATTTTTCTGCTTCAATTTCATTGCAAAGTGGTAACAAAGGGCTGAGAAAACGAAATTCGTTTGAGGTGGAACACAAGGCTGCAATTCACAAACGAGGTCGGGCGGCGGAGGTTGCGGTGACGATGGCTGAGAAAAAGGAAAAATGAGGTGGAGCGGTTACCAAAAAAGTGGGCGAAATAGACGACGCCGGAGTGGAGGTGGCGGCGGAGGTGGTGGTCAGGGGGTGGTCCGTGGTTGGGTAGATAGAAGAAGATCACTTTTTTTTTTTTCTTTTTTTTTTCTAATTTAATAATTATTTGTATTTATATATGTAATATATATAATATATATGTATTTATATATGTAATATATATAATATATATATTTGTATATTGTTTTGTTAAAAATAAATGAATGAACTAAAATTTATTGGAATAAAATAACTTTAAAAAGTTTCTGAAATATTACAAAATTTTCAAATACATAGCCAGAAATCATATGATAATTAAAAAATAAAACGATTTGCATATAATACCCACTTTTTTTCTTTTCCTTTTTAAGATTTGTTTATATTAATGAAACAAAAGAAAGAAAAATAGGTGTAAGAGAAAAGACCGATTTACCCAGCTTAAATCATGTGCTTCTCACGTGTTATGCCTTCCGGCCAGTTTTTTGCCAAAAATAGACAATTTCGACTTCAGTGCTACAATTTAGTAAGTTGAGGTATGCTCGTGCAACTTTTTTCCGTTCAGGGGGTAAAGTGCAAAAACGTCCAAAGTTTAGGGGATTTTTTGCAGTTAACCCTTAAAAAAAATAGCAGCAACATTTATTCCACAGCAAAACCACACAAAACATTATTCCAACAGTAAAAATGAGCGACATAGTCACCAACTCCCATCTACAGTTCTACACAATATACATAAGAAATAAAATTAAACACAATTATTGCATAAAAGTTAAAAAAAAAAAGGATAAGAAAAAAAAAAAAAAAAAAAAGAAGAGGATGACATGTTATTGAAGGAAAAAGAGAATCTGTGGGAAAGCAGATATTGTGAAAGGAAAAAAAAAAAAAAAACAAGTCAAGATTTCAAGAAACAAACTCACTGTACAATTTTTCATTATTTAAAATCTGTCCCATTATTTAAAATCTCAACAAATTTTAAATTTTCAAAAACATCCTATTTGATGGTTAACAAAAAAATTCAACAGCAAGAGTAAGAAACGAAATAACCCAAAAATAAATTTAGCAAAAAACAAAATAAAAGAAAAAGTTTGTAGACGAATTGAACAAAAGAAAAACAACTTACCCTTTGCGTGATTTTTGAACAGTGAAACCTTGGAGGAGAATTTCAAGGGCGGCGAGTCACCGGCGATTGGTGAGAGTCCGAGGACGGCGATGGAGAATTTGAGAAGCGGCGCTAGGGTTCAGTTTGGGAGTCGGGTATAATTTTTTGTATCTGTGAATTTGTGATTGTGCGTTCTCTCCCTTCTCCGTTAAAAGTAAAAAAAAAATATAAACAGGTATATATATACTTAATGAAACGACGTCGTTTTGTGTCGGTTCGGTTCCTCGGTTCGGTTTCCAACTTGAAAAACCGAATACGGACCGAATTTTTCGGTTCACATAAAAATGAAAACCGAGTATGCGGTGTATACTTCGGTTCGGTGCAATTCGGTTCGGTTTTTTCGGTTTTCGGTTCGGTTCCTCGGTTCCTCGGTTTTTTATTCTCACCCCTAATTTATAGCTCTAGTAGTCAAAAATTTTAACTTGATCGAACACATAATTAATAAGTTCAACACAAACATAATCGGGTTTAAGTTTCAGATAGGCACGGCTCTGAAAAGTGTTAAACAAAGTGTTACAATTGAGAGTCATGTAATATGTGTTCAAAAAGTGTTTAAACAAAAACAAGAGAAATTTACAGGGGCAAATACAAATTGCACCTTGATGGCGTAGGATCTACGCCCTCAATATCTCACTCCAAATCCTACTCCTTTATGACTGTTGGAAACACACCGAACGCTAGATATTGGACCGACGATGGTGAAATGATGAACGGAAAGAATGAATATGAGAGAGAGCTTGGAAGAGAGTATAAAGTGTTTTCATTGATGTTAAATCGTACTCTTAATCGGGTCTTTACATTTCTATTTAGATATTTCCTAATTTATGGTCTCTTTATTTGTCTAATTACATTGATTGCTCAATTACTCTTCTTAATTGATATGTTTTCCTTATCTATTTAAGGAACACATCTTGTGGATCTTCTTTTCAACGAGTCTCATTCACTCGTCACATACTCTATTAATTTATCTCTAGCATGTTCAGATGGGCTGGCGGGTTCGTTAGTCGCGAGCTTCTAAAGAGACCTTATCTTTGACGTGTATTGGGTCGGTGGGCCCAATAAATCTCTTTCGGCTCATACATTTTTTCCTTATACTATTTAATAAGCCCAATATGAGGAGTTAGGCCCAAGCTTGCCAAACTGATCTCCATCACACCTCCATGCTATATAGCATCAGTATCGCATCTACTTCTCTATACTACAAAACGAAACAAAGTGGTCAATGCCGACTTCTCTATACTACAAAATGCAACAAAGTGGTCCATGCCGTCAATTCATGTTAAAGAATATGCCCCTTTTCAAAGTTGACCGACCATTGCACTAGATATTAGATAATTGTGGACAAAAATAGCCCTCTGATTGTGTATAAAAGGTGTGTCTCGTTCTTTCTCTCTTATACTCAATTACTCCCTTTTTTTAATGTTTCTTCCATAATTTTATTTTCCACAACCTAAAAATTTCACCCAAATTTTCGGAAAAATATTATGATTGTTTTTTTATAATGTCCTTTTCAATTTTATGAAATTTTGTAATTTTGTTCCCATCCAAAAAATTTCACCCAAAAACTCTCGGTTTAAAATGCTTCCCGTAATTCTAATTCTCAAAATTCACGCATTTCATTTTTTACGTCCGAACACTACACAACATATTTTTCTAGAACCACTCGTCGATGCAACCGGAAATCTACGTAATAGAGTCAAAAAATGCTTATATGTATCATAAATGTATGGGCAAAAAGGTAATTATGCTACACAAATTAACCGGTGTTATAGATTTTAAGTATTGACCGTTAAGTTGAAGGGATCACTTTGTCGTATTTTGTAGTACATAGGGTATATGTGATATTGGTGCCAGTACAATAGTGAAATTTGTATTTAATCCAAATGTATGTATGCATCTATCTATGTATGGATGAAAAACAAATGTACAATTAATGTATAGATATATGTTGGTGATTGGAAAAAAAAGACCCGGAAGACGTGGTCACGTGGGGCTGAGACCTAATGAAAGAAAAATATAATTGACATCAAATATCTTCAGATATGCATTCATATTCCTACATACACACGACTTCTGTCATTCAACAAACAAACAAACCCCACTTCTTACTCTCCTCACTTTTGGGACTCGCCGTTCTCTCTCCTCTCTCTCTCATCCCCCTCTTTTTTCCCTCTTTTATTTCCCCCCAATTTTTTTGCCACGCCCAAATAAAAAAATAAAAACCCTAGCTTTTCTCTTTCCTCTTCCGTTTCGTCTCTTCATTAATTCATCGTCAAGGAGTGTGCTTGAGGAAAAATAGGTATGGAGGAGGCCGAGCCGAACAAGCTGTTCGTTGGGGGTATTTCATGGGAAACCACTGACGATATTCTGAAAGAGCATTTCGCTGAATACGGCGTCGTTTTGGGCTCTGTGATTGCTGTCGATCGGCATACCGGTAAACCTAGGGGATTTGCGTTTGTTACCTTCTCTGAATCTTCTGCCGTTGATCGTGCCCTTCAAAATCCCCATATCATTCTTAGTAGAACGGTGTGTTTGCTCTTACTTTTCCTTTTAGGGTTTACTTTTTTCTCCATGGTTTGTTTATTTTCTTCTTTTTTCGTGCTTGTGTTTTGGTCGAGATTTGATTTCGGTGTTTGATTTTGGGTTTCTGGGTTGTATTATGGTTCAATTTGTAGCTAGATAGTTGTACATGGTATCTCTGTGTTTCTTTTTTTTTTTTTTTTTTTTTTTGTGTGTGCGTGTGTGTTTTTCCACTTATATATAAGCTGCTCTGTTTCATTTCTTTGTGCTGTTTTTATTTAATTTTTTTTTTCTTTATCAATTCGAGTTCTGACTTTCTGGCATTTGTCTATTGGAGTAATGTAGTTCTCTTGTGGTAGTATTTTGAAATCCCCATTTGAAATTTGTTTATGTTTTACTTATTGGATACTATTGCTTGGTACTGAAGTGGAGGGGAAAAAAAAAGAATTAAAGTCGCACTTTTTATTAGGTTTTCGTGTATTTTTGTTTTAATTTATTTTTGCAAAATATATGTTCTCGTGTTTTTGCAAAAAAAAAATCGTATTTTTTTCTATAATTGATGTGATTATTTTCTGATTTTGTCCTTCCTCGAGTAGATTTGTTAACAAATCAAATTCCGAGAACCCTAGAAATCTTTGTTCAATTGCTGTTTGATATGTCAGCACAAAATTATTTTAATGGAATATTGTTTATCCACCTCAACAGGTGGAGGTGAAAAGGGCTATTCCGAGGAACGAGCAGCAAAATCAACAACGGGGATTGATTACGAACAACACTAGGAGTAACATTAGTAGCAGCGAAAGTTTTAGGACAAAGAAGATATTCGTAGGTGGTTTATCAGCTAATTTGACCGACGACGAATTCAGAACTTACTTCGGAAAATTCGGCAGAATCACCGATGTGGTTGTCATGCACGATAACATGACCCATAGGCCAAGAGGGTTTGGTTTTATTACATTCGACTCTGAGGAATCTGTCGAGGAAGTTATGCGCAAGAACTTTCACGAGTTGACCGGGAAACTCGTGGAGGTCAAAAGGGCTGTACCAAAAGACAGTGCTATGGGTAGTGGCAACAATAGTAATAATGCAAGAGGTCATAACTTAAACAACTCTTATAACCAAGGAAGCTATTTACCAAGTGTAGGGTACTACCCCACCACGTATGGCAATGTTGTAAATTATTCATATGGAGCTGGAATTTACGGTGGGGGTGGGGGGTACCCTTTTGGAGGTTACGGCCCAATTGGTTATGGGTCTGCGCCGATTGCTCCGAGGGGGCCTTGGCCCCCTGCAATGGTTGGTTTTAGGGGGGGTTTCTTCCCTTACAGCGGAGGTGTTGCCCCTATGTATCCTACTTTTGTAAATGGTGCTGCACATGGACCGATGGGTTTTGGAGGAAATGGATATAGTGGAATCTTGAAATCGGGAGGTGAGTTGACTCATCCTCAGAATGGTGGTGGTGCAAATATGCAGATGTGAATTTTTTTTTTGTCGGCGGCAAAAAGAATTGATGACAAGCGTTACTAATTGGGAAGCTGACTAGATGGGATCTTGGTTGTGGATAATTAACCGGTTAGAAATCGTCCCGCTGACGTGGCTGGGTATTTATTGTTTCATGTTGGTTTTTTACTTGCTTTGGATGTGTTTCTAATTCGTACAAAGATTTGGTGTGTTTTTCTTTTATTTATGGTCAGAAATTCGTGGATTCGTGGTTTGTTTATTGTAATATAATTTAATTTTTTTTTCCTTCTCTAATTGTACTCAGCTGCTTGATGACAAAATGCTCGAGAATGCGATTTTGGGAATTAATTGTTTTTTTTTTTTTTTTGAACAATTTGGGAATTAAGGTTGGATCAGTTTGGAGGAAGCTTGATTTTTGCTGCTGTGAGTTTCATTAGGAATGTATTATTTGTTAACCTAACACTTGGCCTATGGTTTGTATGTACTTTTAGCAACCTGAGAACTGTTTGGTGGTGTTCTGTTGGAACAACTGTTATTGTGCAATGTCAGTATCAAAATACATACCACGGAAATGAGGAAATGATTTATACAGAATAATTGCTTAAGGCACCAAACACACCCTACTGAATGAAGAGGTATGAAGGACATTAATGTGGTGGATTGGGCATTTCTTTTTTCCTTTTTTTTTTTTACCTTTTATCTTTTCTTTTCCTTTTAATTTATTTCCGGTGGTGGGTTGTCGGAGCTTCGGTTAGCTAACTCAAGATTAGTTAATATTAACATTAGTTGACATCTTTTTTTTTTCCAACGGGTTGTTCGGTATGGGGGACGTATACTCGGAGGAAAAAAATATATATTTATATAAACTAATTTATATAAACAAACACGTGCACATTAAATTACAATTAATTGTGTATCTTTTCGCTTCCAATCATCGACAAACATACTCGCTTATGTGATTAATTTAAATAACATAAATTAAATCATCATAGCATGCTCGCAATATTAAATCAAATAATAAACATGCTCAACTAATGATTCACATAAACACATAATGGAACATATAGATTCATGTGATTTGATACATCATTAACATGCATTAATCTCAATTAATATAAATTAATCAATATATATTAATTAGGGAAAATGAGTTTTTACCCTTGAAGCGTGTATCAAACGAAGACTCGAGAAGATGGCTAACTGCTCTTGCGGCTCCTACTGATCCGACTGCAGGCGGTGGTGCAACGGCACGTGTGTTGCACGTACTGTGACGACAACGCATGAGGTGGCGTGTGGATCGAAACTATTTTCTGATCTGAAATTTCAGGCCTGCTCCAACTTCAGTATCTCTATCAATAGTAATCTAATGGACCATTCCTTCGGAGGGATTGTATTTCCATGAGTTTCGAACCTTCTATCCGAATTCCACGCTTATCGGATCATCGTTTTATTTATGGTGAGTTTTCTCGATGGACTACGCAGAAAATTCGAGATCAGATTTTTACGGCTGCTTTCTCTCATCACCGGATTGCGGTGGTGCGTGGAGGAGACGCGGGAGCGGCGGAGGCGGCAGAAGACTCCTCATCCTCTAAGGTTTCACCTTGTATATTCAATCCACTATCCACATAGTATTAGATACGTTATAGGCTAAATGCAACAAAAAAGAACGGGGAGAAAAAGAAAATGCGAACGCGGTGGAAGCTAGTGGTGGAAGAAGGGTTTCGGATGCAAGGTGGAGCGGTTGATCGAGCGAGAGAGGCTAGGGTTAAGGTCTTATGTTAATGAGCCACTAACACACTATTTATATAGAGATTCCAATAAAACCCTATTGGGCTTAAGTTGGACCAAGTTCAGCAGTTTAAGCCCACTCTCTTTCTCAACACGTTTCTAACAAGCGAATGCTCGCAAAAATAAAACAATTGTATTTTGGTGACGAGCACAAATTTCTCGTTAATACGAGTACCACTTTGCAATTTTACAAAATCTGAAATTGAAAACCCTAATTTAGGACCTGCCAAATTGGGAAACTTCCCAATTTAGAAAGTTTACTAAATTTTCGTCGAATTATTTTCCTCTTTATATTTTTCAAGGTTGTAAAAAGTGGTAATGGGATCGGAGGTGGTCACGGACCGACTCACGATTAATCGGTGCGGCGGTGATTAATCGGTGATAAATCGGAAATAAGTCGGTTTTAAAATTTAATATAATATATTTCTAAATATTATTTATAAATACTCAAAACATATATAAAAATATATTTAAACATAGTTATATCTGCATCATGTATATATATACCTTAATAAAATAATAAAAGTTTAATAATAATAAGATCATAATACGTAAATATCCTTATAAAATATAAATACAAAAGATTTTTTTTGAATTTACATTTATTCTTGAACATTCCTAACATACATTATTAGTTATTTAATAACAACAGTTAACATAAACAAAATAAAACATAAGCTCATATTTTGTTTATTAAAATACCAACTTTTATTTTGAATTATTAAAAAAAAAAAATAATTGACCGATTTTTTGCCGATTTTTGCCACCGAAGTTTGACCCGCCATAAAGGTTTGACCGCCTCAGACTGCCTCGCGCCGCCTCGCACCGCCACACAGGCAAAAAACCGATTTTTCAAACTTTTACACTAAAATTGTAAAGGTTTTTGACCGCCTCCGCCTCGGAGACCGATTAATCGGCCGCCTCGGCCGATTTTTAGAACATTGATATTTTTATCCATGATTAATAATTACGAATGTTGGACTCAATCACATTGACCTCCAATTATACTAAGATTAACTAATTAATTTTAGCTCATTGCATTTAAGGATCTCAAGTAAACGAGAAGTGTGACCCTCAATGGTTTAGGTGTAAACTAGTTCTGCGCTCACAACACATTGTGGTTTATACTCGTCCCTAGAGTTATAATTAAGTTGAAGCTAGTTTCAACTTAACTACCCAACGAATCAAGATTGGCGCCTAACAACTACGCATCATGATTCCCTATATACAAATGAAGTGCCTGCAAGAACTGTATGATATAGTTCACGTACAGTACAGTCCCTTCAATGCATATCCGATTGAACCAGAGGCATTGGTTCACCGAGACGACCTCTTCATGATTTCAATAACTGTGTGTACGTTCTTGATTATATAATTCGTTCGTGTTTGACTTAGATAAACACATTTCTCTAATCACGACACTTTCAGCTATGGCCACAAACTTCATGGATTATAAATCGTAGGAACACAAATGATATCCATGACTGTCAAGTGATCCAATCCCCTACCACAATGCACATACCTCCTACTGGATTTCGGACTACACGAACACTGGCCCTTGGAGCGGTCCTCGGTGGGACTTAGGGACAGATCACGATACAGCTGGTCGTCTATTGAAGTCACAGTAATGTCTGGGATTAAGGATTAATGGTGTACTTCTATATCATAGAAACTGTACTCGATTATTGGGAACCACTTAGATATCTCTAGATCAAGGGAGTTCAGTGAACTCATAAACTTATGAGCACCCACTTATGTATGTCGATGTCACAACACCATTAACTGATGAGACGCAGTTCACATACACCAAGTGCTCGTCGCAAATGGGAAATGCGGATTGCAACGATTTATCACTTTACCCCCTTCTACTCTCGATTGCATCGATTTTCCCCCTGTACTTGAAAAATTGTCTCAATGTGGCCCTCGCCATTAGTTTTCAGACATTCGACCTTAACACCGCTTGGTCTAAGTCTGAAAATTACGAAAAGGCCACCCCTCCCGGTTTAAATAATTATTGAAAAAAATAAAAAATAAAAAATAAATTGTGACTGGCGTCGCCGTGGACTATATTTTCTCGTTATCTTGAATTTTTAATTATTTGATTTGTTGTCTTTTTTAATAATTATTTAAACTGGGAGAGGTGGCGTTTTTGTAATTTTAGAGCTTAGATCAAGCGGTGTTAAGGTCAAATGTCTGACAACTAACGGTGAGGGCCACATGGAGACAATTTTTCAAGTGAAGGGGGTAAATCAAATATAATCAAGAGTAGAAGTGTGTGAAATGATACAGAGCCAAAGTATATTGGTACATTTTGAAGTTCAGCGGATTTTTTAAAGGTTACGTATAGTTTAAGGGTCAAATTGTACTATTTACCAAATATTTTGTGAAATTAAAGAATCACAGTCATTGGGAATTTCGAAATGATATAGTATAATTGGTTGCCACAAGTTTCGTTAAGTTTCACGACAAACAATTCAATGGTGCCTCTGCTAAGCCAAGCCGCCGGCGCCGGCGGAGCGTTGCTCTCCTCCACCCACCACTGTTCCCTCAAATCCGTCCACCCAATCCCACCTCTATTCTCCAAACGCCGCCCCAATTTTTCAGTCTCCCGCCGCCTCAAGCCTCTCACAATAGCTAACGCCGCCGACTCCTCCGGCGGCCCCTCCACCAAAACCACCACCTCCTCCACCGTCAAATTCGAGGACCAAGGCTCCGCCGCATCTAATTCAATCTCAATCGTGGGCCAAGAAAGTGTCCCCCTTGAGGGCGTTATTCAGTTCGAGAAACCCGACTCTTCTTCTCGTATCGCTAAATGGGGGTATGCATATATTTTTCCGTCCAATTTTTTTTTTTTTTTTTTTTTTTTGTGCGTTTGTTTATTTAATTGGAAATTGAATTATAAATTGCAGTCTCGTGGCCGTGTTGGCCGGCGGCGATGTGGCAGCGTTGCTTTTGTTCGCTGCAATCGGGAGGTTAAGCCATGGATTGTCCGTTTTCGACTTCGAAACTTTCAAAACTGCCGACCCTTTTATGGCTGGTATATTTCCTTTTTTTTTTTCCTTTTCCATTGTGAAATAAAATTATAGGTAATCAAATGTTCTCAATTTGGGTTTATCTTTGTTGATTTTTGAAATGAATAGGGTGGTTTTTGAGTGCGTATTTTCTCGGGGGATACGGTGAAGAAGGTCGCGGCAAAAAAGGTCTATGGAAGGCTGTTAGTGCTGCCACCAAGTCCTGGTCTTTGGGTATTCCGGTAAACTTACTTCTACTCGAAAACATCTGCATTTTCTCCGTACTCGTCTTATTTTATCCGTTTCTCTATTGATCGAATAATAGATAATCCATTTAATTTATAATCAATGATTTTGAATAATCAGTTCTAGTGAAATAGGTTAGATGAAGGAACTCCACTCATTGTCAATTTGATGTTGTGCATTAGTAAAAGCATGAAACCGAGTGAATGTGAAGTCGAGCCCATATTTGTAGTAGCATGATCGAAATTTGAGTAATGGCCCTTTCAGAATTTGACGTATATATTATTCATTGTGTCATTAGTTCAATGTATTATAGAGCCCGTTTCTCGAATGGAAGCTCTTAAAGCAGCAATGGTATTGAACAATTTTCTATTGAGTTATGAGAAAACTATACCGGAAGTTCTAACCATGTTAAGAAAAGTGAGGGACGAAATTGATGTTGATGTGAACTTCAACAAGAAACAAGTGACAATTAAATCATATTTTCATAATTATACATTTATGGCAAAGTTCTGAATCATATATTTCCCCTTATATGGTGTTCCTTCGTGGACAACTCTATTTAATAACTAATCATTTAGTCAAATTGAACGCCACATTTTTTTTTTGTTTTTTAACACCTAAACTTACATGAATAAACAAGCTTGCAATGTAGTTGTCTATAACAAATTACTGTAATGAAACTAGGTTAACCTTTTCTTTAAATGTCAGGCCTTGAATAAAACGAGCCCGTATTTGTAGAGATATGATCCCTGACGAACTTTATCTATAATCTTCAGATAATCGAAATAACCAAACAAATACTTTGATGATCATGTTATCAGAGTGCAACTTGGAACAAAACTTAAGAGCAATAGATTCTCATTTGAAATTTTTCTCTACTTCTCCTAAATGGTTGAGAAGTACTCCATAAACTATTTCAGTTCACTTGAATTAAATGGTATCTATTGGATGAATGAAGCTCATGCTATGATAAGATTCATCCTCTACACACACACACACACACATATATTATATATATATATATATATATATATATATATATATATATATATATATATATATATATATATATATATATATATATATATATAATATATATATATATATGGTCATTTGTAAACAGTTCAACAGTATTTGGTAAATAATTTGAAAGCTAGTTTAAGAATGGATAAACATGGGCTGGATAACTGGTACTTTGTCTGTAGGATTTGCTGCATTGTCTTTTTTAAGAAGTTAGCTACAGTGCTACCTCAAATGCCGTTCGTATATCTTCAATTGTTAGTTGAGGATGCTACCAACGGTGAGTCCAGGAATTTAGTACAGGGTGGACTTAAAATTTCGGGTGTTCAGGGGCCCCAAAAAAAAAAATTTGGACCTTTTTTTTGGATAAATTAGGAAGATAAAATTTTAGGGTTTTTTTTTTGCATATTTTTAGTTTTGGGTGGGCTAAATAATAATATATGTAAAATATAAAGGAAGAATTTGTAATTGAGGTTGGGGCTTGAGTCCAGCCGAGCCATGGGCTGGTCTCGCCCCTGGATGCTACAATAGACTATTTGCTTACACCAAAATACCCTTCATTGAGAAAAAAAATACCAATTTAAATATAACAATAGGATCAAAGGAAACCAGAGAGAGAGAGAGAGTTTACAATGCATTTAGATTCATGTCACAAGTCTATGAATGTGGTTATGAGGAATGTAATGGTGGATGAATAGAGTGAATAGTGTAGTTGTAATTAGGGTTACGTTCGAAGATGGTCAAGATTTGCAACTTAGTCCCCATCAAAAAATTATGATTCCTTTTTTTTTTTTTAAGCATTTTAGTTTTTCTCGGTTAGCTCAAGTATTTCCAGGAAACATTATTTTTTTCTTTTTTGGTCTTTTTTTAGGGGCATACTTTCTTTATTTAGATATAGTATGATCCCGTTCATATGAAGAAACTATACAAGGTTTGCATGCTTTTCACTTTGCCAAATTATCTACGTTGTTTCGTTTATCCACTTGTTTTAGATATAGTAATCCTTAAACTTTGTACAAGGATTATTAACTCTTATCAGATTAAACTGAGTTTAGCTGTTTTTTAATATTGTATCTGTATAAACTGCAGTTGGGAGTAATAATAAGGGCGGTTACAATTGGGCATATACCACCGACCAATTTTATATTGGTTACTATGGGAAGCACTGCTGTTTTACTCGTCGGTTGGAGGGCTTTATTGTTCACCATTTTTCCCACTGACAAAGGCAAGAAGGATGATGTATACAAACGGGGCAGCCCTTTTGAACTATTTGAGGTACCAGCAATTTTTTTTTAATGTTTACGAACGTTTTTTTATATGATTCCTCTTACGCCTTGTTAGATTCCCGAGATAAGATTATGTAATCTTATGAGAACCTAATTGTATAAGGCCTCTTTTGGTTGGGGAGATTAGCCTTGGTTAACTAAATAATTGGACTTTGTTTGATGTTTGGTAAATAAACCCAGTAATTTTTCGGGTCGACCCGGAAATATTATTTTATCATATGTATGACCGATCTTGCCTTTTAGGGAGATTATTTACTGGACCTCTCGTTATCTAATAATACAATTAGATTTTCAAGTAATTGTGTTGATGTGAAGAAAATCAAACATCAAACACTAATAATTAATGTGCGATGAGAAATCCAAAATTTGATAACAAATACGTTATAGGATAATAGGACTAATCAATTTATAGTGAGAATTATCTTATCTAAGCTATATCTTGGTAACCAAATGAGGCCTAAGGCCTCGTTTGGTGTCTAAGATAAGATTAAATAATCTAACGAAAACCCCATTGGATTGTTGTACATGAGAGTTCTAATAAATAATCTCCCTAAAAGGCAGGATAAGCCACGATAAAATAATATTTCTGCCAGGAAATTATTGGGTTAACCAAATATCAAACAAAGTTCAGTTATTTAATTAATCGCGGCTATATCTCCCTAACCAAACAAGACCTCAATGGATTGGGTGTGGTCTACCACATAATTGGCAATAAGCTAAGTTAAGAGCTCAGTTTTTCATAATTTTGGGTCTACGCCGAAAAGTTATTGCACTAATCAAATATCAAATAAGACTCAATCAATCAATTAATAGTGGCTTATTTGACAAAAATTAAACGTGGCCCTAGTATTTGAACCCATTCGAACTTTGGTTGAATTGAATCTTGGATTTAATTTGCCATTTTCTATTATTATTACAGTTGCTCACATCATTGGTCAGAAGATGGTGATGAGGTAGAAGCAACTCTTTTGAGCCTAACAATGACCGTTGCGCGCGCCTTGTAATTGGGAGGTAACTTTGTGCATGTTAATTCTTTCCATTTGTTGTCACAAGGAAAATAATGTATATGAAGATGATTCTAATTTTTTTTTAATGATATAAGTTCATGTTTCGATCTCGTTGTTTCATTATAACTGTGAAGATAGCTTTTAAATTTCTACTACAAAATGACTCCTCATTTGTTTCTAACAAGCTTATTAAAAAAATCATTTGACTATGTTAACTTCTCGAACTCGTCTTAAAACTAAAGAAAGGGATACGGCCGTACTTTTCAAATTTGGGTTAGTTACACTTTGCCCTTAGAATTTGACTACACTTCGGTTTTCAAGAAGACGTGTGGGAGTTGCGTTATGCGGATAGTTTCTATTTTTTTTAACTCCATTTCTTATATCATTATTTTAAATGAAAAACTGTTTAAATGTATAGTCGAATGCATTCTTTTTTTTTTTTTGTTTTAGTGAATGATTATCATGCCTCCGATGCAATTTGTGAATCTAAATAGAGCATATCGTATGAGTCGAAGTATACTACTTTCTTACTTTTTTTTTTTTCTGCAAGAAATAGATTGGAGTTATGAAAATTGCTGTTACTAAATAGAGGGCTATTTTTATCATTTTCGTTTGTCAGGTAAGAAGTAATACTCTTGGCTTGTGATTCATGAACAAACTGTTTGGTTATATTTTGGGTCAACTATTAAAAAAAAATTATCAAATGAAATATTGGTGGTCATTTCTATATCCAGGCCGATCAATTCTTCTATATAATGGGCCATTACAAATTTTGCTTTTTTACAGTTTATGATGATAAAAGAAAAGACAGATGCTACAAATTTGGAGATTGTCATTGGGCTGTTGGTTGTTGATTTAGGTATCCTTTGGTTGTCAGATGGGATTAGTTAGGATAAGATTTAATAACATGATGAAACTCAATTGTATTATTGGACCATAGAAGGTTCAATTAAAAAAATTCTCTAAAAGGTGAGATAAGTCGGTATAACATATATATACAGGTTGACACGAGAAGTTATTGGGTATACCAAACATCAGATAAAGTCCAATTATTTAATTAATCGTTGTTAATCTCCCCAACCAAACGAGACCGTAAATATGTAAAATAATTGAGGCGAGATGAACCCAAGGCTTGTATTTGAGCATGGTTTGATTATTATTTGAGTTGAGCTTAAGGAGTTCTAATCAAACTCATAGCTTGATGTTAATTATATTGACAAATCAAGAACAACTAGGTTCTAACCATCGATTTTGAATTGAGTAGCTCGATTTTAATTAACAAATCGAATGATTCACAAACTAATTTAGGTGTTTATCCAGGAATGTAATGTATTTCTTATACCGAGCTCTGCATTATATGATTTGAAGTTTTATTAAGTTGGTGTTAGCAAAAACGCTTGGAAAAATAGAATTTGCTGGTTTGTGAGTAAAACTCAGAATAACTGCTTATCTAAAAGTTTGAGTTTTTGTAAATTTCATGGAAAAAAATTCAAGCAAATTAATTTATAAGTTACATCATTGACAAAACAAAAATTAGTTTAGCTCTTTTTTTTTTCCTTATCAAATCATCTAATCGTATGCGTCGTTCTTGTTGAAGAGCGTAAGAACTCGAATCGAAGGTAACATAGGAAACGAACAACACATAATGCAATAAAGGCACGCCTGCTATTTCTTCACATTTCTAACCAGTTTGGAATTTATAACAAAAAAACTAAAAAACTAAAAAAAAGAGCTTAATTATTTCCCTAGCTATATCAATAAAGAAAAAAAATGCAAATTACGTCTATCATTAAGCTAAGGTTAAATTACGAAAAAAATATCTCATATTAGGTAAGTACTGCAACCTGTCTGCTCTGTATTGTCTTACACGTTCACCATTACGGTGTCAAATTTACCAACTGCATGAGAGATTTTTTCATAAGAAAATATATATTAAGAGAGTAACTGTAATTATCTAAACATGATTGTAATATTTGGTATTTTGATCTTAATTCAGGACCGTAATTTGGCCACAAAAAAAATTGACTCACTCGTTTAAAACACTGTTACAGTGACATGATGCACTGAATAATTCAAAATATGTCTCTCTTTATTTAAAGAAAAAAAGAAAAAAAAAATCAGCACCACAAGGCAACTGTGTATTATGTTCCTCAGCTTGTTTGTATATTGCTATTAATTAATAAATAATAAGATTACCATCAATCAATCATCATATCTTTATAACACACATCACACAATATATATATACATATATATAAATATACATACATACCCGCCACCCTACAAAGCTACACCCCACCGCGCGTGAGAAAGTATAGCGATGGGATTAGGTCTGCGGAATTAAATAGCTGCAGCAGACTGTAATTTAATGCTGAAAATTTTGTCAAGTAGCCGTCAACATATATTTCTTTTTAGATTTTTTGTTCCCAATTACTCTTCCCATTCATTGATTTTTTCTGCTATTTTCATTGATTAATCACATCATCCCCTTATTTAACTCTATATTCTGCCTTGGTCAATCCTTTCTTTTTATTTTGCCTTTTTATTTTTTTGCATTATTTGTATATTTCTAAAGTCAATCTTATATGTTGTATGAAATTTTGAAATTCCGACTCCAAAAAATTTTGAGGAAAAAATAAGTAAAAATAAATTGTTTTCTTATTATACATAATTTGACTACTAGTATATGTATTAATTAAAATACAAACAAATTTGAATTTATGTGTTTTTGAACTATTAAAGTGATATAAGGTTCAACTTACTCGTGATCAAGTTCAATCTATTTTTGAGTTTGAATGCGAATATTTCTTGAGTCGATTCAACTCATTTACCACCTAAATTGATCAATAAAAGAATTCAAATAATTATCTTTCAAATCACGTATAGCCTATAGGAACTTTTGTCATGTAGTACATTTTTTTTTTATTGTAATAACTTTTTAAAATGAAACAAAATATTTAAATCCTTTAACGTTAGATGTAGAAATACATAATCCCATTTTAAAATGGTCGACGTATAAAATTAGAAATTTATTACATAACTAAAATTAAACTGGATGTTAAATATGCGCTAAGTTCCACGAACTATATATCCATTAAAGTTTACCATATAAAGTTAAACCTCTATAAATTAATACAGTTGGGACCATCAAAATTTCATTAATTTAGCGAAATATTAACTTATCGATTAATTAATAATTATTAATTTATACATTAATTAATAATTTATTAATTTATGAAATTATTTTTATTATTATTTTCAATAAATATATTTTCTTAATTTTTTACGTGTATATTATTCATTGTACCATTAGTTCAATGCACTATAGAGCCCGTTTCACGAACGAAAGCTCTTCAAGCAACAATGGTATTGAACAATTTCATGTTGAGTTATGCGGAAGCTATACCAAAAGTCCTAACCATGTTAAAAAAAGTGAGACACGAGATTGATGGTAATGTGAACTTCAACAAGAAACAAACGACAATTAAATTATATTTTATTAAACCTTCATAGATCTATAAAATATGTATTGTACCATGTAATTTAAGAATTATTTTTATGAATTATTAATTTATATATTATATGGGGCTTCTTAAAATTTTCGAATGTGTATTATCTTATAAATTTAGCGAATTATTAATTTAGCACGTTGTCCCCGAGTCGGGACCGGGAAAATTTATTATTTAAACGAGGTTATTAATTTATCGGGTATTAATTTATCGAGGTTCTACTGTATTTACACACCAACGTCGATATGTATTATTATTATTTATTTAGTGAGAGCCAATTGTAAAGATATATTCAATGTAGTAAAACCAATGTAACATGAATATCACTAAAATTGAAATTGAATAATAAGAAGGAAATGGATGAGTTTGATCATAGAAATTCAGGGGTAGTTCAGTAATTTGGAATTTTAAATTGTAAATGAAAGAGTGATAGATCACAGAAATACGGGGACCACTTTGCAAATTAAGATGTAAAAATACAAGGACAAGACGGCATTAATATTACCCGGCAAACAGGTGACATGTTTGCCCTTAAATTTCCAGTACATGATTGCATGAAAATAAATCTATTTAGTCTTGTATCCATATTTAGCCAAAGGTAACTTGAAACAAAATAAAAAATTAAAGGTGAAGAAAAAAAGGCTTTGTTTGGCATTAATTAATTCGCGACCAAACCCTAGCGGCATAAATGAGCTCAGTCGGTTTAACAAAAAGTAGAACTCGAACTCGAGTTTTTCGAGTTCGAGCTTTCTGACAAGCTGAGTTCGAGTTTTTTCTTAGTTGTTCGTAAGCTCATGAGCCTACTTTTTACAGTTATTTTGTATATATTATTTTTAATTTAATATACAATATATAATATAAAATATTATAATAATAATATAAAAAGTACATATAAAAATTAAAACAAATAATAGTTACGGTTCATTTTTTATTTTATTATAATTTTTTTTTTCAATAATAAAAAATGAATAATATAAATAATTTGGAAAAAATATCAAATGAGCTTGGGCTCGAGCTCGTTAAAATCAGCTACTCGATGAGCTTGAACTCGAGCTCGTCAAAATGAACTCAAGCTCGAACTCGTTAAAATAGACTCGAGCTCGCCAATATAGTCAGGCTCGGCTCCAGCTCGACTTGTTTACAACCTTACAAAACACTTTAAACTACTCTATTTGCTTATTGTATTCTCCTTTCAATTGGAATAGCTAAGGGTGTTTACTCGGTCAGGAACCGAGGAGCCGTACCAATCCGAAAATTCGGTAAGTGCCGAATATTGAACCATAATTTTTTATTTGAATTCAGGTATTCGGTATGGTATACGGTATTGATGCCCGATATACCGTACCGTACCGTACCGAATACCGAAATAATTAATATATTTTTTTTTCTTTTATTTTAAATCCTTTAAGGTTATAACAAATTATAAAATACTTATAAATTGATATTTTTTCTGTTATTTACAAACTAGCTTCTATTGATAATCATTTTTTTTAGGGCCGATTATTGAAATTTGAACGTTAAATTCAAGAACTAATAAGTTTAAAAAAATTACATTTTGTAAAATAAGAGAATATATATTCGGTTTTACCGGTACCGAA